GCACACACACACACACACACACACACACACACACACACACACACACACACACACACACACACACGCGCGCGCGCGCGCACACACACACACACACACGCACGCACGCACGCACGCAAAATGCAGCGCTGGGCCAGCACACGAGACGGAAAAACGCACGAGTCTGCAAACAACCATACGGGGGTCAGTCACAGCACCAAACCCAGAGCAATAGCCAAGACCACCCCATGGCGCATCATGCAGCAATGATTGCTGAAGCCCAAGCGTTATCTTCAACCCCTGCATGCAAGCAAGATTGTTCAAGCGTCATTAAGGGCTTGATTTACATGTCTGCTGGGTCAAGGAAGAGCAAGCTACATAGCCGTGATTGGAAAATTGAGTCGCAGTCCACGCATGAGTTTGGCAACAGCTGCATGTTTGTGATGCCCAGCGCAGACGTTGCGCGTTTGGCAAGCGTGCTGCTGATGAGACGTGCGCGATCCATTTGCGCGCATCGCACACGCGGCGCACGAGCCTGGAAAAAAGGCCGTTGGGGCAGTCGACGGCCCATCAACCAGCTGGCATTCCAGCCAAAAAAACGCCCTAGGAGTCCAGAGACAAGCCAGGCTTTCTGGCAAGTTTGACGGATGTGAGATGGTAATAATCCGCCGTGCAAGTGCAGAACATAATAGCGCTAACAGCAGATGTGCAAACCTGCGGTGCAGGCCGGCGCTGCAAGCCGGCGTACAGAAAGGGACAAATCAGCGGTCCAGATCATTCGTCACCTGAGCCCTACCAGCCCGTAGCAGCAAACGCGCGAGCCGGCGCGTCCTGCGGGCGCCCAACACCCAATGGGAGCTGCTTGTATGCATGCCTTAAGTACTTCCTGGTTCGTACAAATTCAGGCCGCCGTCTGCGTGCGATGTGTCTGCAACAAGCGCCAAGCTGCGCCGCCAGCCAGTCGCTGGCGTGGTTGAGACGGCGCCTCGCGACCCGGCCTGCCACGCAGGCGTTGCCAGGGCTGCCGGACAAATAATAAGTTCAAGCGCAAGTCCTTTGCAGGCACGGATGGCGGCGCCTGGCTGTACGGGCATGCGCGCATCCAGTCATCAGGAGCCTGCAGCCATTCATGCTGCATGCACGCACCCCACTCGCCGACGCCATCCCCTGCCTTGTTAAGTTTTCTGTTCGTCCGCCTCCGTTTCTGTGTCCTTTTCCAGCTGTGTACCCCTTCAAGCGTTATTCTTCGGAGCCACGATAAGCAGGGCCGCGCTGCCGGGCGGCATGCGGACGTCAAAGACTGTGTTGCCGGCTGCGTCTATCTTGCCGCGCAGCCGCTCGCCCGCCGGGGTCCCGACAGTCTGTGCGTGGATGAACAAGGACGGGAGGGGGAGTGAGTGCAGTATCAACACACAGGCGATTGGTTGGACGCCTCCTGACACACGTGTGCGTGGCCATGTGGCGAGCGTCTGAAACCAGGGCGCTCAATTTTGGTGCAGCTGCCGTGCTGTTTAAAAGGCTAAATTCGTCGTTCTCGGCAGCCACGCACCCTACCTGTCCTTACAACCCCCGCCAGGTGAGCAAAGCTCCTCTCGCGCAGCACAATCGATCGCCACCCTGTACCCGTGGCGCCTGCAGCACAATACCCCCAACCTGGCCCCCCAATACCCCCGAAGCATCCCAATGTGCGTAAGCCGTGGGCCTTGTCGCCGCCCCTTGTGCCCGTCCACCTCGGTGCTCTCCCAGCCGTACGACACCCGCGCGATCTGCACCCCGCCCGACGCGAACAGCCCGCCGGGCGCCCTCAGCCGCAGCAGCTTCCCGCCCCCGAGGCTGCCGCGGTTGATGCTGACCGCCAGCCGCGCGCTGTCCGTGGCGTGCTTGTTGATGATTACGGTGCGCAGCGACCCGTCCGATGTGCGCACGAGGGGCCAGGCCTTGACGGAGCCACGCTGGCCGGCAGTATAGATGAGTGGACTGTCCAGCAGCAATCGGCTGCCAGTGGAGAGGGCCATCTGGGACGGCAAAAGTGGGGCGTTTGGCGTCAGGGTTTTGAGGAACCGAGCGAGCGCATTGGTGAGGGGCTGGGGGAGATCAGGGGGGCGCTGGTGAAACGTGGCAAGGGTTCGCGGGCAGGGGCGGGGCCGTGGGCGTACGCTAAGCATCTGTGCATCCCAGCGCCCCCCGCGGCCTCTGCCGCGGCGCCCCCTGCGCCCCCAACCGCGGCGCCCCACGCGCCTGCAGCAGGTGGTACGAGTAGAACGCCGGCTTCACGATCGGCGGCTTGCCGTCCTGGGTGCGCAGGATCACCGCGGAGTATACGTTCTGGCCGGAGCCCCCTGGGGGGGGGGGAAGGCAGGTGGGCATGGTGAGGGTGAGCATGGGATTCCATACAGGCTGGGACTGACAAGGTTAATGAAAGGCTGACATTTGGGAAAACAGCGCAAGGTGTCACATCCTGGCGAGGCAGGCGCTCGATGCCCGCAGCGGGCAGGGCGGGGGTGGGGCTGTTCACCCCTGCGAGCGGGCCTGTTGAGAGCCCTCATAGAGGACACGTGTGCGCAGCCGCAGCCGCAGCCCTGTCTGGCCAGGCCCGGGGCTGCTTTGCTGACGGCCCAACCGTGCAGCCCGGGCGGCCCGTGGCCGACGCGCGGCTCACAGTGGAAGTTGACGCCGGTGGCGCCGGTGGCGGCGACCTCGAAGGCCGCGTCCAGCGCCCACAGCGCGCCGCTCATGGTGTCGCTGACGCCGCGCAGCCCGTTGTTTGAGATGGTGTTCATCTCGGCCACACGCAGGGCCTTCTGGTACCTGCGTGGGTGGTGGATGCCGCACCAAACATGTTGACGGCAGCCAGCAGTGGGCGAGGTTATGCGCTCGCCTGACCCGCAACAGGTGCGCTGCTGGGGGTGCCAGGCCGAGGAGCCCTGCTTTCGTTGCGCACCCGCCCGACGACGCATGGGTACAAGGGACTGAAGAACCCCTCCCACAAACGGAGGCGGG